TAACGAGAATTGAACTAATAAAGACTCCTTGAGAAGAGTTCTTAAAATCGGTTTCAAATGTCATAATAGCATAGAGCAATAATCCATAACGTCTCATGTTGCTAATGCTATGAATAATCCAATCAATTCTGTATTGATTGGGTTCAAAATGTCTTTAATGCGAACTAATTCAACAATTGCTCATAATTAATAATGTGAAACTGGAGTTTATCCTTCATTATTAGCATCTGCTGTATAGAAAAAATATTCTCTTGGTAAGGAAAATTGGCAAGCTTGCACAGCCAAAAATTAATTACTAAATCTACGATTAGTGATATCAAGTGCTCTACTTGTATCTAAATATAGACGCAGTATAAATCGAGTTGAAAACTTTAACACTAACCATATTATTCTTGTATATGATTATTCATCAACTTTTGATCCAACTTATTCCTCCCTATTTATCATCTCCTGTATGCACATAGTTAACTCTTACAGCTTTGAAAAATTTGAAGTCATTTGCACCAGGTGTTTTAGACTAGTGGTATATGCAGGCTTCAGTAATGATGGTTGTTATAACTACATCACTTTTTCTTGTATTAATTGCAGTACGAACTATCATTTTTGATTCACCAACTTCATTATCCTACTTGTGCTTCTTATGCCTCATGTAGTCCTTCTTTGTATTCCTCTTATATATATGGACTTTTATATTGTGTTAAAGTATACTCCACCTGACAATAATACTTTTTTGCAGAATATTAATAAAAATGTTTAAAAATTTAGACAAATTTAGACAGTTCTATATTCATTATCAGTGGTGTCAACAAAATGTCAGGTTTTCTTTAACTACTAATTGTGAGTAATGTTCAACCATAGGTTATCATCTTCAACATCATTATTTGATAGTTATCCTAAATGTTCTAATGAATGTACAACATGATTTGCTAGCAACGCTTACAGATGATGCACTTATTAATATGTTCTTTTTTTATAGATTGCACAATCTTCTACTGTTCCTGTTCCATTCAGAACTTAAGTCTTGCAATTTTGCACACTCTTTAATCACCAGGAGTAGTTATATAATACAAACGGAACGCCTCCGCAGATGGATGCAGTTCAAATTGAGATGAAGAAGTAAATTAAGTTTTCAAAATATCTCGTCATCTATTACCTATCTTTATCGAATTTCTTTTATCAACCTTTATGCGGGAAATTAGTTAGCATTTATAGAAAAGTTAATTATTTCGCTTTTATCTAATAGTTTGGATTAAAAGTAGAATTTCGTTATATCTTAAAATTGGAGGTTTGAAATCCATCACTTAGATTAGTTTCTACAATTATAGTAAACCTCTAAACGTAATAATTTCATGATCAATAATTACTCACACTTTTTTATAATTTTTTAGCCTTTACTTAGANTAACGAGAATTGAACTAATAAAGACTCCTTGAGAAGAGTTCTTAAAATCGGTTTCAAATGTCATAATAGCATAGAGCAATAATCCATAACGTCTCATGTTGCTAATGCTATGAATAATCCAATCAATTCTGTATTGATTGGGTTCCAAATGTCTTTAATGCGAGCTAATTCAACAATTGCTCATAATTAATAATGTGAAACTGGAGTTTATCCTTCATTATTAGCATCTGCTGTATAGAAAAAATATTCTCTTGGTAAGGAAAATTGGCAAGCTTGCACAGCCAAAAATTAATTACTAAATCTACGATTAGTGATATCAAGTGCTCTACTTGTATCTAAATATAGACGCAGTATAAATCGAGTTGAAAACTTTAACACTAACCATATTATTCTTGTATATGATTATTCATCAACTTTTGATCCAACTTATTCCTCCCTATTTATCATCTCCTGTATGCACATAGTTAACTCTTACAGCTTTGAAAAATTTGAAGTCATTTGCACCAGGTGTTTTAGACTAGTGGTATATGCAGGCTTCAGTAATGATGGTTGTTATAACTACATCACTTTTTCTTGTATTAACTACAGTACGAACTATCATTTTTGATTCACCAACTTCATTATCCTACTTGTGCTTCTTATGCCTCATGTAGTCCTTCTTTGTATTCCTCTTATATATATGGACTTTTATATTGTGTTAAAGTATACTCCACCTGACAATAATACTTTTTTGCAGAATATTAATAAAAATGTTTAAAAATTTAGACAAATTTAGACAGTTCTATATTCATTATCAGTGGTGTCAACAAAATGTCAGGTTTTCTTTAACTACTAATTGTGAGTAATGTTCAACCATAGGTTATCATCTTCAACATCATTATTTGATAGTTATCCTAAATGTTCTAATGAATGTACAACATGATTTGCTAGCAACGCTTACAGATGATGCACTTATTAATATGTTCTTTTTTTATAGATTGCACAATCTTCTACTGTTCCTGTTCCATTCAGAACTTAAGTCTTGCAATTTTGCACACTCTTTAATCACCAGGAGTAGTTATATAATACAAACGGAACGCCTCCGCAGATGGATGCAGTTCAAATTGAGATGAAGAAGTAAATTAAGTTTTCAAAATATCTCGTCATCTATTACCTATCTTTATCGAATTTCTTTTATCAACCTTTATGCGGGAAATTAGTTAGCATTTATAGAAAAGTTAATTATTTCGCTTTTATCTAATAGTTTGGATTAAAAGTAGAATTTCGTTATATCTTAAAATTGGAGGTTTGAAATCCATCACTTAGATTAGTTTCTACAATTATAGTAAACCTCTAAACGTAATAATTTCATGATCAATAATTACTCACACTTTTTTATAATTTTTTAGCCTTTACTTAGATTTATTGTTTGATTTTTTCCCTAGCTTTGTAGTATTTGACCTGGAAAGGACAATTAGCTTCTAAATAATTTCATTAAAATTCAAATGCCAAAGAATAGATGGAGTTCGAATCTCCTCTTCAATTTCCCTTAGGGAATAACAATGGGCATTGTGCGTCTTTATTTTGTCTTTGTTTTATTCTATGATGATGGACTATAAATCCGCGAATGTTTTGCAGTTATTTATAATTACTATTGCCAATAAATTTTCAATTATAAAATTTTTATCACCATTTCTGAAATCCTGTGAGGCGATGTTGATAACTATTCTCCCCTAAAGTAGTTTTCTTCTTCTTGTTTAAGAAAAGTTGACCAATATATGAAAGTTGTAATATTCTTCTTTGTAAGAGAAGGCAATATCAATATCCGACTATGATTCAGCTCCGAGCTAATAATTATAGAAAATGACAACGATTTAGAAGTTATGACAGGTGATCGCAAGAAATCTTAAACGTGAATTAGAATTCAGAAATAGATTGGTTAGATGGATAGAATTTGATAGTTGTAGAAACCATGATGAGTACTAACGTGCAATTGTTTACAGAGATTAATGAGTAGAATCCAATCTTACTTTAAGATATAGCAACATAATTGTTTAAGGAGGATATCATCTTTGAAGACTTAGGAATATTAGTGCCCTTTAATGACAACGAAGAACCATGTCTATCTCAACTGAAATTGATAATGTATTCAGACTTGAAGCAGACCCTATTTAAAAGATTTTGGAAAGGATATAAAGAGACCAGAATGAGTAATACCAATAGATACTGGTTAGGAACAGGAACACTTAAAGTTAATATCAGAGATGTGTTATTTATTTGAAAGGTTGACAGTTTCTTGATAATCTAACTCTCTTTGCTTCTACATTTTCTAACTTATTGATATATACCTTTCATTAATGCAAAACTAGTGTGAACCTCAGCCAATAAAAATTTTGTGTCTGGTGACATATATTTTCATCATACATTTATTTTATTTTATTGCATAATTTCAAAATTGGAATTTATAATTCTTTAATTGATCCGATTAAGAATCCAATTAAATTCATCGGAAGATGGAAGAATTCATCTAAAGTTATGAAATGCAAAGCATTTTCAACCTTGTAATTAATTATTTTTTAGGGTTATTTTAAGCAAACTGTTAATTATCAAAAAACAATATCATATTAGATTACAGAATTTAATGTAATTAAGATAGAACAAGTGTTATGAGAATTTAAACATATTTTATCTACTTCTCAAGCTTCAGGAAATTTGATTACTAATTTATTTATTGTAGGAATTTAGAAATCCAATAGTTTATAATTTATTAGGAAAACTTACCTCACACAGTCTTTGTTTTGATATCAAAAAAACCATGATGCTTACAGATTGAATCTAAGATTTTATTTTGTTGAAATTTCCAGCTAATGAGTTAAACTATAAAAAAATAATTAGTTAATTAAGGTTCTCTGATTAGAAAGTAGCTATACATGAAGAGTCTTTTATAGAAAGCTCAAATCATATCTGTTGAGATCAGTTCTATTTTTAGATTCATTCTTTATCCGTCAAGATCAAACTGAAATCTTTCAGAAATGTAAAAGATTTCAAACGATTCTAAGATATTCTTACTATAATGTAGAGCCCCATTCTTCTGGTTTAGTTTTTATTTTTGATAGTTAATTATACTCTATTAGAATAAACTTTGAAGTTTTTAGACAACATTAATAAAACGAACATGAAATGCTACTAAGTACACTCTAACTAGACTATGTTAGATTTTTATGTAAAATATAACAACAAAAATAGAAATATCCCAGCTTGGGGCTACTTAGTTTTATAAATGCTCTAATAAAATATTTTTTTAATTATTAAATGTACAACAATCATTCAGTGCAAGGAAAAGTAGATGTCATTATCATGAGGGCCATTAAAAGTCAACATTCCCTCAGGAAGACTTCTCAAGCGCTGAATTGCTCATAAAGAATGACCCTATTTTTTAATGTTATTCATTGTAGTTACGAGGGAGTAAAACCATAAAACAGCTATTGTTTAAGAGAATCGTTGAGTTCAATATGTAGTTATGAAGGCTCTCTTAATAATCAAATTTAAGCTGAGTCTTACTATATAAGAAGAAGAAAGGGAAATACTGGTCGAACTTACAATTTTATAATGGATATATGGAGATTCTGCACTAATTTAAATAAATTATGTCGAAACTACTGGAGATTAGGGAATAGAAGATATTAAGATTATCATAAGCTCAGATTCATATTCTGTCAAGGGTTAACAGTTGATTAAGAAAAAGAGAGCAGGGCCAAGTAAATTCTTTGAAGAGGGGAAACCTAGGATTAGGATCTCAAGTTCTCTTATAAGTAAATCCTATATGAGTTATGTTAATAGAGGATACATATTATCAACTTTGATGAAAAGAAAGAATGTAATCTCTAATAACATATTCAGTAATAGTTTGACTGAAATTGTGAAAATGGGAACCACATCTAACTCTCTACCATTACACCGCAAGCCCATACAAAAGATGATGACTTTTGAGATTCTTTAGAAGCCTAAGAGGATTAACATTTATTATTTAGGATAGCCTAAATGATAAAGCAAGAGATGTAAGATTCTTAATTGCGTCAAGATTTTTTTTGAAGGTGTTGAGAGAAATGGAACCTTTAAACAATTTGACGAAATCATTTTTTGGCCCCCTACTTTCAATAACCTTCCATGTCTCCATAGTCCAAATTTTGTCTCAAAATTTTCTGTACCAAAAACCTTTTCTTTTAGAACTTAACTCTTAGACGATTGTGTAAAAATAACCATCTGATTTGCTGATACTAAAACTAAAATACATGTTAATTTTGATATCTTCTTTAAATTTAACCTATTTACATTTATTGGTTTTTTTTGAGAAAAAACTAGATGACGAGCACAATCATAATATTATATAGTGATATATTGTTTTATTAAATGATTGCTCAAAAATTCCTCGAGTAATTATGGATTCTTCGTCTTTCTACTCTCTTAAATTATTGCAAATATACTTCGTTAACTGAGAGAAGTCAAGCTTTGTCCCTTGATATTTTACATCTGATAAGAATTGAATATTAATTTCTTATGCTTTATTCTTTTCCTAGATTACAATCAAGCGGAAATTGCAAGTTCATGCCTTCTTTGATATGCCATGAAAAGGGAATTGAAAGCCTTCTCATAAAATTCAGGCTCTTATTGCAAATCCTGAAATTTATATTTAATATTCAGGTTGTGCTAATTCCTATTATGTCAACAGCAACGGTCTCTTGTGTACCATAGATTTGCGTACAAAATTTGTACCAATATATCATTATGAACCCTCTCGTGTTTTAAATTAATATGTGGAAACTGAAATTGTTTTATTGTAATGATGGCATCTTAGTTAATAGTGATTATAGAGCTAGTAGTATTCAAAACTGTCCACACTTTTCATTAATTTCTACATTCTACATGAAGTCAAAATCTTGAAAAATAAACGGAAAACATTGTGATGATTAAGAACATGCCTAAGTTAGAATTTTGGCAATAGCAACGCAATGTACTTGCTAATTGTCATTTGTCAAAAGGAATTATGTAAATTTGAATAATGTTCTGATTGCCTTAATGCTTGTAAATTATCTATTAATATTGAAATTCAGTAAAGAATTTTATAGATTTTTGCGATGCCTACATTGACTGCAATCAAATTCAACTAATTACTAAACTTTTTGTTTCTAATATCAGTTACTTTGTCTTATTGCAGATCAGTTATGTTCATATTGTGTAACTGCATTTTATCTGTTGTGTGAATTAATTGTTAGTAGTTTCAACTTCAACTATCCTTCGTTGCGCTATTATCTGGTACTTAAATATTTTGGTAAGTTTACAACTTTGATTGTTTAAAGCACATTTGAACTTTATGCATATCTGTATTCGTTTTGAATGAATATAATGCTTCAGATGGGCAATTCTAATTTTTTTATGATTCAGTGACTTGAAATAATTAAAATTATTCTAATAAAAGCGTAAGGAAATTCAATTACTTGAGTCCAGCTATCCTTGTTTGAGGCATTATGTTACTTGTGAAATTAATACTAAAATTTAATTTTGTAGATCTTCAATCATAGATTTTATCATCCATTTGAGGAATTCACCTTCTATCATCTATCTGAATCTGAAGACTATACCCGAATAGACAAAGCATTATTATGCAAGTTAAAGAACCAGGCACTTTATATATGGATGAAATGAAAAAACTTCTTAAAAGTGACTTAATACAAAAGGTTTTACATTTTCAGATTGTATGCTTGCCTTCAGCTGTGAATGTGGCAAATGTGTTGAATAGAATTAATAATTTGATATCAGAAAATTTGCCATCATTCAAAATTCTGGAAAAATATTGTTCTTAAAATGTCTCCTAAAATAATAAATTAGAATATGACAATAATACATTCATTCGTTGTACGAAATTACTATACAGCCAGTAAATTTTTTAGTGTCAATGTCGCATATAATTTATTAGTATTCTCTCTTTTAATTCCATTTCTAAATTCTGCTATTTGTAGAAAGTAAATTTCTACAATAGAATACAGCTTATCTTTTGATCACAACCTAGTATGTGTCATGATTTTACTGATCATTTTTAAAAGGGTAAGGCTGATGTCACTGAATGCATATCAAATATCTTCTTACCATCTGGGTCCTTTGTAATCATTATCAGAGATACTGTTCTGATTTAAATGAGAATAGCTACAACTTGTTACAATATATGCTTGTAGTCTAATTTAACCTTCATTAAAGAAGGTATCATCAATTATATAAATAGACTTAATGGTTTTTGCAGAGAAAGTCTACCATTGCTTTATATAATTAAATAAAATGGACACTAGCATCAATACTCATATTTTTTATTTAAATGAATCAGTTGTTATTATTATTTATAAGATGGAACAAAAATGAAACTCTCTGTAAATTCCTTTTTGATATAAAATCAACAGCAATTCATCTACTAAGTATCATCAAATATCATTTAGCAGCAATATCAATTGCATCTCCTGCGACATATATTGCAATGAATATTTTTTATAATGGTCTGACAGAACATTCAAGAT